TAATTCAAACGTCAATTAAAAAGTTTGGAAAATTCAAAAGTGCACGAGTCAATATGCTCATATGATCGTAAAAAATGTCGCAATCAACTGTAGAAAATATACGTTTTAATTTTACTATATTATTATCATTGATATTAAAAAAATATTATTGTTAATTGAGAAAAATATTTAGAGAATCATCTTAAAACGATCAGAAATCAAGTTTAATATTACTTTAATTTTTAAGTATTTGTACTCAGGCATTATACAGACTCGTTAATAAAAAAAATTACGTCACCAAAAAGTTTTTCGTCTAGTCATAACCAGTATTTTAATTTAGCATTCACCAAAGTACACCTTCAGGTCAGTCCGGAGGTAAGGTCTCATCACAACTAACAGGGGGCGAACTCTGCTATACACCTACACTGACTACTCGGGGATACACCTTCAGGTCACTCCATCAAGTTCGGAGGCAGAGGCGGAGTAAATGGCGACAGCGCCCTAAGCTGGCCTAGCACGTCATCGGCGCCCCTCCAGCGGACTGTGTGATTTTTATATCATTTATATGTCCAATATGATTGTTAGATACGATTTCATGCGAAAAATGTCGGATTCTTGATTTTGGGCGCTAATAGAATACACCTACGCGCTTTGCGCTTTAGGCATGCAATTTAGTGGTGTCCACCAGACCGAATTTTGGTCACGGAGGCCAACCACGGACACTTTCCATCTGCGCTGGACAGAACAATCGTGCACGAGTGTGTGCAGGCACAGGTGCTATGTGCTCATTTATTCTATTTTCTCACTCTCACAGTGCAATGGAGCGGCAACTCGACACTACCAGAGACTGGATTGTTACAAAGAATTTCTTGACAAAACAACCTTATAACTTATTACGGATTCAATCCCGGGACCGTCTGACCAGCAGTCGCACTTACAGTTACTGGACCAATGAGGCAGTCATTCATACAATAAATCAAAACTATATTTTAAACGTCAAAACGAAGTCCACCACGATTCCCACCAGAGTTACACAATCGCATTGCTGTAGGCCTCAAAGATGATGTAAAAATGACCAGAGTAATTTATAATTAAAATTTGCATTTATATATTTTACAGAACCGTGGACGATTTTACTGGATACGAGTTATTCTATTTTAGTCTTCAGGAATGACAACGCATCTGCAACTGCCATCAGGTGGACTGTGTGATTGATTTTCACTTTTATTCTATAAAAAAAATTCATGTATTCATTATACCGTAACTTATCGTTTTTGCCGAATGTTTTCAATATCGCAGAAGTAGCGTCGCGGCGCACGCATGCCATGCCGGCGCCCCATGTTTATATTGCAGGATGATCGGTCGTTGAACCCGCGCAATGAGCGGTCGCCACAGCTGCTACCAGCTTGTCACCGTGTCGACGATCAGATTATTATCAAATTATTATACTTGTCTGCTGTTAATCAACACACATTTACAAAATTATAAAGTTAAGCCTGCTACGTATTCGGGCAGCCATTATGATACCATTCAAAAGTCTATTGCTGAAAACAACCCCCCCCCCCCTCTCTTAGATTGGCAAGCTGGTTGGCAACCGCGACTCCTTTTTTATTCAGCTGGTGTCTAAAAAATGCTGGTGCCCATCTCCCAGTTCAATTTCACTCTGTCGCCTCTTGCGTCACGTCGAGATGAAATGGAGTAGTGGATATTCTTACACTGCCACTTCACGGAATTGCTTCGTAACTCTCAGAATATAGAGGAGTGTGCGTTACTTTAAGCCAACTATGTGGATTTTAGGATACATTTATTCGTTTAATGCGTTTTGGAGGACCCAACGTGTCCTCGAAATTTCCTTAATTTTTAAGACATTCTCCTACAGGTTTTTCTTTTACTGCCGAGCATTTGAGCAACCGACGACGTAAATCAACTTAAAATTGCCGCTGACAATTTCACTGTTGCCGGCGGGGATCTTATTCGGGTTACTTTCGTGCAATTAAATTTTAGGTAAGCAGTATGTTAATCTTGGGCTACTAACCATGGCTCTAACGGTTATTAATTAAACACTAGAACACTATGTTGTTGAGGTTTATGATCTATATACTCGTATTAAGAAACGTGAGTAATAGCGTTCGGATTGAAGTGCACGGTCTCGTTGAGTATTACAAGACGTCGTCGAGGAAAATGGTGTTCGCACATTGCGAAGCTGAGCGCGCTCTGCATGCGTAATTGAGATTAGATTGATCGGAGTCAGCATCGCGTGTGCTGGACATGCGAGGAATATCGCTTCACTGTTCCTGCAGGGGTCACCCCGCAGCGCAAGGCCGATGATATTGCTTTATTACACGGAAGATCGGAATCCCATTAGTCGAGGTTGATTCGGGTTGAGGCACGTGGAATTTAAATTAATTTTGGTAACCGGTGAACATGAAAGAAAAAACAGAAAGTTTTGAATAAATAAATTAGAAATTAAATGTTTGGTCATGTAGAAAGAATGAAGGTGGAAAGAGTGACAAAGCCAATTTATATTGTAGAAGTGAACGACAGAGTGTGGAAGGGTCGCCCTAAACGAAAGTTTAACGACCAAACTGGCGATATATTGAAGATGGTCCAGATTAGGAGTACCAACGAGTATGTATGCGTAGGTATACGAGTATGGTTGTAAAGGAGGCGAGGAGATGTGTCAAGATTGTGTCAAATGGAAGTGCGACTGCGACACTCTGCCTACCCCTTTGGGTGACTGGCGTGACTATTAACGATGATTTTAAATTTAATTTATTTTGTTTCCATAACTGAATAAGTACGCAGCAGTGGCATATGGATGGAAAAATTTCATTCACAATGACAATAATTCGCTTTAGATTAATGATAATGTCGCACCATTCAATTTATACAAGTACCAGAACCAGAGCACCGGAGCCGCTAGCACCCGGCGCCATGCGCATGTGCCGCGAGCATAGGGGTACGACAATTACTCGCGGGAAAATTTGGTTATGTTCATTTCCATTAATAGATATATTACTTTATTAGTATAGTAGTGGTACATAATATACAAAACTGTATCAAAATCTTTAGCGACGTTTTTGAGAAATCAGATATCTACAAGAGTTGAATAGATTAGTATTAAATAAATTAAATTAAGATACTTAGATACATTAAATAATTTATACTTAAAAAACTAAAATACTTAATTATATAAAACGCAATAACTTTGCTGCACTGGCAACATTAGCGACGTTCGTTCGTACAAAATGACAACACAAGAAACTAAGACTAGCTCGTTAATATTCCTTGCTGCTAACGTAGGATACAGATTCTAAAAGACCTATGATTTATTTATTTCCTATGAGAATCTTTATAAAACGGTGGAACATTGTATTGGCAGTATGTCAATTTTTTGAAAGTATTGTAGCTGCGTTGACACCCGTCTCGTGAGCATGCGTGCAGCGAACCTCTCCAGCTGTCAGGATTTCAACGAACGATGTTATCAGTAGGTACAATTCTTTTCACAAAATATGGCATCAACAACTTTATAACTCGTGCATGTAATTCTTATAATAATTCTACTTTTGACATGTTGATATATTTACTCTGTCATATGGACAGTTTAAAAAGGAAATTGAAGCTGTAATGGATAATAGTTAAATTAATATTAATAATTAATAGAAATTAATAAAAATTAATAATTAAAAGTGCAATACTTTATTTTGACTTAACTTTAGATTTACACACCAAGTACGTCATGATGTTCGCTTGTTGTCGATGCGTTACTTAACTGTGGAAACTTTACTGTTAAATGTAAGATTCATATGTGTTATGTATTTAACTTAAATTCCCTTAAGATCAAAATAAATAAATTAATCTCTTTAAATGTTCCAACTTAGTTTTAGAGCCTTGTGGAATACTTAGAGACGATGGCAGTAAACCCGACGATATAACTTTGGACCTTTTTGGAGAGAGAGAGAGAGAGAGAGAGAGAGAGAGAGAGGTAAAGCCCTAGTCTACTTGGTAGGTGGCAACGAGCGGAACAAAGTTACTTAGTTAATAAATTCAAATCTCTGATTGAAGACGGTAGATTTGTGCCATTTGCATTATAGACTATCGATCCGCAGCCAGCTTCTTGGCACTACATTGTGGGGAGTAGGACACTATGACCAATTTTCCTGACCAATTTCAATCTCAGCGCCACGTAGATCAGAGCTGCAAGCTTTATTACAGTCGTGCATACTCGTTTTTATTTACGAGTACTACAAACTAATGTAACGCTAAACTACGTCGTTCCCTTCATTTCTTCGACCGGAATATTGGGCTATGTCACCATGTATAAATTATAATGGGTATTAGACATGGGTAATAACCACCCTTACACTATATTAAATCGAATTTATGTATTAGATTTGAATATTTGATATTGAATCTACATATATTTCAATATATATCGGATAATATCTACGTAATTCTGTGACAGTAAGGAAGTCAGTATTCAGAACTGCACGGTAATATACGACTTTTGTTATGCTTAGATTTGTAGATATATTGTAATATGTAAATATGTTAATTCGTATTGATTAATATCTATGATACTCTGAAACGAGTATATATCCTGCAACGAAGAGTCCGAATATTGTGTATTTTTTCCATAGATATTTTACGTTAATATTATTTTTTCGAGTTGGATGTTAGATGTTCATTATTAATAGAATGAGGCGTTACTTTGCGGAAATTTAATATAATTAAGATGTTAAAAATTAATTAGGTAAAATCCGCGCAATAAAATAAAATAAAGTGTCTTGCCGAGTTTGAGTTCCTCCCCTCCACCCCCTCCCTCAAAGTAATTCATTTTTATATTCCTTAAATTGGATGCACTGTTAAGTGACGCTGTACTGAAGCGCCATTTAATAGACGGATATTGTACCGATATCTAGATATTGTATCTATATCTGTATGATTTGTGTCACCCACTACCATTGGGTGTAAGTTTATAAGGTCAGGAGTGTTTGCAGGGTGCAAGAAGTAGAGTGTACTCACAACAGCTGCAGGTGCGGCCAGGAGGCATCTGGCAGGCGGCGAAGCGCGCATGCGTCCAGCCACAGCCGCAGTAGCGCCGCGCCGCTCAGCGCGCCCGCCGCAGCCTCCAGCCGGTTGGCAGACAGGTTCCTGCGCACACCACACACGCTCCACCACACGCCACCCATGGCCACACAGTTCCACCCCCCCCCACGGCAACATACTCTCTATGAGCTATTCGTCTGTGACGAACCTCTTTCTTAACTTCTAAGAAATGTTATCTCCATACTAGGATTTTATCCTGTATCGTGGAGGCAATTATAAATAAATTTCATCATCAAACATACATCGAGACCCCGAAAAAATATTTGTTGGCCATATAAATATATGTTCCTTGCGGGATTCGAACTCACGGCCCTTAGCGAAAATCGTCAACCTCTGCTACAGCTTTCAGTAAATTTGTCATGGTAACAATTCAAGAAAAGATCCTCATCTTTCTAAAAGATCGGCAACGCAACTTCAGCTCCCGTGGTGTTACAGTTGCTCATGGCTGCCGGTAGTCTCTTAGAATCAGGTGAGCCGCATGCTGGCTTACCCACTCCGCTATAAACGAAACCACGTAAACATACTGCCCACGTGCTAATATGTCGGTGAGGAATCTCTGATGCAGTCTTCCAGAAAAAGCTTATTATTTTTTTAAATACCTGTACCTGCGATACCATCTGGATGATTAGCGGTCCACTACTGTGCAATTTACTAGAAGTTTTCCTCCTCGTACAATTTCCTTGTTGAATTGACTACATCCTCTTACGTGAAAAAAACAATTAAAACTCTTGTAAAATAAGTGAGTAACAATACGACGAATTAGTCCAAATGCCCTTCGAATTTATTTACAAAGAACTTAAGAAGAACTTCAAAATCTGAAAAACCTTTTAGGTTACAAGAAATCGTGTAGAAATAGATGCAAAAAACATTCTGAGGCATTCAGCCAAAACATGTTAAAGAAATTTAAATTGTTAAAGAAGTCTATTTAAGATTTTTTAACGAAATTGTTATATCAACACTTGGTATACTACCAAAGACACGAATGATGAGCGATTCGTATGTCGATCCTTGCCGAAGCGCGAGGTGAATTAATAATGTTGTGTAAAATTGCCACTTGTACCGCATTCACTGAATAAATGAGCTAGAATTTGTATTTATATAACTGTGAAAGCTGTACCTAGCTTACCTACATACTTGCTGTCCTTTTAACATTTTTCGTAGAAGTAATGCTCGCAGAATAACCTACTAACTATTGATAAATAACTTTCTTTTACATTGTATGAACTCATTATGAAGCTATATTGATTACAACTAAGTAGATAAATGTTTTTTAGAATCTTTCATTCATCATCATTACAGCCCTTCACAAGTCCACTGTTGAACATAGCCTTCAAGGAAGGAATCCCAAAAGAACGGTCCTTAGCCACCTGCATCCATCGATTTCTTGCGTCTTACCAGGTCGTCACTCCATCTAGTGGGGGACGCCACACACTTCATCTACCGGTACTAGACTGCCACTCGAGAACTTTTCTTCCCCATCGGTTGTCGGTTCTTCGGGTTATATTCCATTGCCAATTTAGCTTACTAATCCTAAATCTAGTTTTAAACTAACTTTGAAATAAAAATCTTTCCTTATTGAGAGATATTTTTACTAATACAATTCAGTGATAATACTAAATTAATTATGACAGCATACCGAATTGCAAAACATATTTGCGTGCACTCAACAAATTCTGTAAATTAAAAAGTTTACTTAAGTCGGTAGAAAACATGTCGCGTGTCCTTCGGCGTCTCCGCGACACTCGACCCTGCAACTAATTACTGTCATCAAGCGCAGCCAGCCAACGGGCATTAACTTCCTTGTTTTATATTGTTTGGTACAACTTGACAATTTAACCTTTTGTCTAAGTGAAGAAAAAAGTTTCGAAAGATTACTTTTATCCATATAACTTATTATATAATATTTTATGTTGTTCTTTATAAAGTTGGTATAATACGGCCCAGTGCGCGCTCGCATCTTAATTTCACTTTCAATGCGTGTAAAGTAATTCCTATCGCATTAAGCCAAGTAGGGTAGCGACGCTGCGGTGTAATCGAGACCGCGGCGGCACAACCACATCCACATTGACTCTGCGCTCCCCGCCCACCCCCGGATGACTAACCTTCCCCTCACGCGCCGCGTTTCATACTCTCTGCTCTCTGGCTGGCATCTAGGACGTGAAAGCGATACATACTCAATACGGAACTGTCGTTTTTTGTAATTCGTGTTACGTAATTTATGAACACATTTCTCATGGCGACAACAAGGGTCGAGATGCGACGCGATGTCCTCAGAGAGTCATGAAACAAATGTTAGAGGTACATCACTGGTGTTTACATCATCGCTTCTACATAAGGACACTATTCTTAGTTATTATCTACCTTTACAATACTTTAAGTTACCTAATACTTGACAATCTGGGCTCTGTGATGTTGTCGATGTAAGATTCACACATCTTTTAGTTATTACAATTATATATTTTTTATTTTGATGTAATAGTATGTAATAGTACACATATTCAACTATTATTATATATGCTACAATTATATACGTTTAATATTTGGAAAATATGATTGCATATTATCTGAAATATTAAATTACAGACAAAACAATATAACGAAAGCTTAAAGCTACGGGTTTCCAGTGTTACGACGTACGTATTAACAGAGGCAGAGGACGAACCGCAATACTAGGGTTTTTAGGTGAGTAAACTGCGGAATATTTGCCTTTAATAAATTTTAATTTGATGTAAAAGTCCAACGATAAAATTTTATAAAAACACGTAAATACGCGTATATTTAACATTGCAGTAAGCTTTAAATAACATGCAAGTAGCAAATATTGTTTGAAGAAAATTGGTTGCGGATGTTAGTGCAAATTGACCCAATATGAGTATGTGAGTGTACGAGCAGTGAGTGATGAGTTAATGAGTTAAGAGATGAGAGTGAGCTCACAGGTCTCGCAGTGAGGCGGCGGGCTGCAGCGCGCCGGGCGGCAGCGCGGTGATGTTGTTGCCGGACACGTCCCTGTCGAACAAAAGCCATCAGAATCATCAAGAAATATCAATAGAATCATTAAAGTATCAAAAGAGACGCCTAGACTGGCTTGTTTGCAGCATGCGTTAGAGCCCGCGGACTCAAACTTACTTAGTCTATGCCATAAAAAGGTACCCTGTGCCTCCTGCGTGTCCTGCACTGCTATCTAGGGCTACTTCACCTCTACACCAGGAAAGATTGTAGTCAAGTACAGGTTTATATTAAGTAAACATAATAGAAACAAGCACAAGTACGTTGTACCAGTTACTCGACTCCTAACAGTCAGCAATACCTTCATAGAGGGAACAATACGCTTTTATAAAAAAATTCCCAGAAAATATGCAGTTATACTCTGAATTACTATTAAAAAGCTAAAAATGTTTATGTCATCTGTCGAGAAATATCAACAAAATAAAGAATATCGGTGTAAAAGTGTAAATAAATAGGGTTTGCTGTCAGTTAGAAAGCTACTTAATATTTATTTATAAATCTCTTAGAAGATATCACCAATTATATATTCCAAATTTACCGATAAATAGGAAAAGAATAGACATAGCATAGCAATTAAAAGTATTTTTGCTAAAAAGAAGTACAAACACTTAGCACCATATTCATATAAGAAATTTAATAGTGCTTATAAAGCAAAAAAAAGGTAACAACTGTGATATCAAAAATAAAATAATATTGTGGCTTAACACTTTTGGTTACCATGAAACATAATAATTTTTGCCCTACAACTAACCTACAGAACATTATATCCATATTTACACACGCGCACACACACACATGCACACGCACACACACACGCACACGCACACACACACGCACACGCACACACACACACACGCACACACGCACACGCACACACGCACACGCACACGCACGCGCCCGCGCCCGGCGCCCGCGCCCGCGCACGCGCAAGCACGCACGCACGCACGCACGCATTTGTATACATTAATTGTTTAATTTTAGTTATATTAATAGATTTTTTATTTTTGTCAATATGTAAATAATCGGAACAGCTATTTTTGTGAGCCAGTCAGGAGGATACACCTGAGATATGAGATTCACCTACATAAGGAGTTAGGGACTTTAAATTTATTTGTTAGGAAATAAAGCATTATTATTATATGTAATGATTTGACAGCCTGTATTTCCGTCCGAATACAATCTCATACATACAAGTCAGGAGTGAATAGGAACTTTATAATTACGCTAAGACAGTGCGAGTCACCATCTAAGATTTAATCACCGATTACCAGCAAGTGGGATTTTAGTCAATTACTGATTTATAATAAGCAAGAAAATAATAAGAATAAATTAAGTTATTCGACTTCAAAGACTTAGTAATTCCATCATGGGTGGATCATTTTAGTGTCGCAGAAAATATGAAGGACATAACTATAGAAAAGGCTTAAAATTTCATTTATTAATACTACCATAAAGTATGTTAGTATATTATACTGATATAGAGTACATGATTGTTTAAAGCCCCCGTGAATGAAGTAATCGCTACCATCCTTTTTCTTAATATTTTGATATTTATTTGAAGGTAAGGTTTTTTAAGGTAAATATATACTATTAAAACACGTCCCGTTGCGTTTCCTGCTGGTTCCTTCCAGGGCAGAGGTTTTTTATTCTTCTGAATCGTATTTTTTATCTATACTGAATAAAACTTCTTCTATTCTATTCTAATTATTATAAATGCAAAATGGCTACCATTTTTTACTACGTTTCCAGTTCCGAGTCACGTTCAAAGTTTCAAGCCCCTAGTGCATCGGGAAATTAGGTTAATATCGTTTGCAAATTAGTATTTAACAGACAGAAAAGTCAGAGCTATGGCAGCTTAGGAACTAAGCGCTCGCTGTAAGCCTCATAGTACGCGAGCAACCCGGGTTCGAACCCCGCCGGGACTAACGAAATTATTAATAACAATTTTAAGTGCTGATTTACCATTTGCTCGGTCGTGAAGGATCGTGAGGAAATCTACGTCTGAGAAATAAGAAAAAAATATATTTGGAAACATGTTTGCCAAGACGCATTGGGGCAGCGCGGCGGACACTTCCTTGCCCTAAAACTCTTTCATAAATGAGAGGAGGCCAGTGTCCAGCAGTGGGATGTGGTAATAATTTTTTATTGTTTACTCGATCTTAGGGTTCCTTCTCAAAAACACCTATTAAATATGTGGCCGCGGAAGGAAAGGGGGAGATCTCCCGCCGGGCAAGGTGTTCTCCCGGGGAGCGGCCGACACTCCGAGTGATAGTTCGGAGAAGTACTATATATACTGTCTATGATTCGGAATGTTGATAGCGTGATTTAAGCTTCGGTGTATTTCGCTTGAGGCGCGACGACAGCGCCGCTATAAATACATAATTCTGCCGCTAAACCACTGTGCATTTTAAGAGTATGTGAAACAGTATAATAAAAACTGTGAAGCATTCCAACTTGGTCCTCCACGGTGACAATGCATTTGTAGCCTAGGTGCTTCAGAAAAGTAGGTTGCAAATGTCTACCGGTCGCAGTAGCCACTTACATACACTTATGTGCGTTGTACATCATGTGTACTGTTATTTCGTGTATTTGGTACTCTGACGTTAAATAAAAAATGAAGTTAACATGATCTTCACCTGGAATTTTTGATGTGAATACGTCTTCGAATTTCCTTCCATAATGAGAGGCAATTCAGAAAACTGATGACAGCGCAATCGGGGGATACAGTTTATTGCAGCCACACATCTATCGTCCACATCCACAATTTAACTACACCACTCGATAGCTAAAGAACCAAAGCATTCGTTTTGTAGAGTGAAGACTGAACCATCAGGCACAGCCGATAGGGAACGCCGCGCAGCCATGTTGAGATCGTTTAGTTACGTACTCCTGCACGTATTTACATAAAACACACGGCCGTGTCCACGACAGCTACACGCCGATTTATTTTTCTTACATTCATTGGTTAATAGATCTACCTCGATGGAGAATCTTATCAGATTAGCAGAACTACACTAAGAAAAATTATAGAGTAAAGTAAGTCCTGTATTGAAATCATAGCCGGAGCCGTAGACAATATATACGCAAAAACTATTTATTTAATTTTTAAAGATCTGTGGGTGTGGTAAGTGACCATTACACCCATAAAGAACAAAAGAGAAAGGAATCGTTATTTTCTAGACCTAAATCCGTTCAGATTTTTACGTGTCTTTGTTAAAACAGCCAAGCGAAACAGTCTAAGTCACAACAATCTTTGATCTTTTTGCAGTGACTTTACTGGGCAAGCAGCTTGAAGTAAACAAGCAGATTTTTACTAAAGTCAAGCCTGGTTGATTGCTTGAAATGTTAGCTAAATATTTGAATTAAGCACCTTGTGAAAGACGCGCGTTTGTTGAATTAATATATTTTTTGCTAGACACGAGGACTTTACATCGTTGCTCATGGAGGGATATTTGCCATAGCTGCCACTCTTGGCGAGCAGGTTGGCTTTTTTTTGCGCCCGAAGCAAATATGGGCAACCCTCCGGAAAGCGGGGGAGGGAGGCAGTGAATGCTCATAGCATACCACGCAACCGGCTGCGTGGTTATGTGGAGACTTTTACCCACTAAACACCGCCTTTATGGATTGGCTTACCGATCTGACGAGAGATCTCTAAGCCGTATACGGACGCGACCCTCCTCTTGGCAAAGAGGAGGGCGCAACGAGGGGGTTGGCAACCGCAGTTTTTTAACCGGTACTTGAAGTCCTTCAGAAGTTCTTTAATTCCGTCCTCCATGGAGGCACAACTCCCGAGGCGTGGAGCAGAAGTGCGGTGGTCTTGTTCTTCAAGAAAGGTGACAACGCCCTCTTGAAGAACTACAGACCGATATTCCTTCTGAGCCGCATGCTGTAAATGTGTAAATGACGAAGAGTCATTACGAATCGTCTTGCACACAGACTCGACGACTTCCAGCCTCCCGAACAAGCCAGTTTCCGAAAAGGCTTTAGTACCATAGACCACATACATACCCTTCGCCAAATTGTACAGAAGTCTGAAGAGTACAATCTGCCACTTTGCCTGGCGAAATGTAGACTATGAGAAAGCTTTTAATTCCGTCAAAATTTGGGCTGTGCTACAGTCTCTTCAGCGGTGCCAGGTTGCCTGTCGGTATATCGATGTGCTGAAGTATTTGTATAGTATGGCTACGATGGCTATCCCAGTACAGAACCGGAGTACGAAACCTATCCAACTGCAGAGAAGTGTAAGACAGGGTGACGTTATTTCCCTGAAACTCTTCACCGCTGCATTGGAAGACGTTTTCAAGCTACTGGACTGGAAAGTATACGGTATTAACATCAATGGCAAGTACATCACTCACCTTTGATTGCCGAAATCGCTGGAGCGCTTAAGCACTATTCTCAATGACCTCAATAGCGCCTCCCAACGGATAGGTCTTTAGATGAACATGGACAAAACAAAGATCATGTTTAATGTCCATGTCACACCTATGCCCGTAGTTGTTAGGAGCACTAAGCTCCAAGTTGTTGACGAGTACATTTACCTGGGACAAATAGTCCGACTAGGTAAGTCCAACTTCGACCGAGAGGTCAATCGACGGATTCAACTGGGCTGGGCAGCGTTCAGGAAATTACGACACATCTTCTCGTCAGGTATTTCTCAAAACCTGAAAACTAAGTTGTACAATCATTGCGTGTTTCCGGTGATGACCTACGGAACCGAGAAGTGGTCCTTCACTGCTGGCCATAAGAGGACGCTCAAAGTCGCTCAGCGAACTATGGAGAGGGCTGTGCTCGGGGTTTCTCTGCGTGATAAACTTAGAAATGAGGTTATCTGCAGTAGAACCAGAGTGACTCATATAGCCCAACGGATTAGTAAGCTGAAGTGGCAATGGGCCGGCCATATAGCTTGAAGAACCGATAACCGTTGGGGAAAAATGTTTCTCGAGTGGCAGCCTCGTACCGATAGGCGAAGTGTATGGCGACCCCCCACTAGATGGAGT